AATATCTGTTTTGTCATAAAGTTTAAAAGAATATTTTTGGATTATAATTTTTGTTGTATAAATCTTTTATACCTATAAAATTTTAAAATAAAATCCTAAAACCTTCTAAAAACTTGTTTTAAACCAAAATATAACTATAAGTCCATAAATTCCTTTTAAATTTACAAGTATACCACAAACTTTTATACTTTATTTTATATATATAAAAAATAAAAAGTGACCTATTTACTTCCTTTTCCATGAGAAGTATACCAACAACACCATATATTTTCTAGTTCGTATAGCAACAAAAAAAATTTAAAAAAAAGATTCTATACCATTATAAAAACCCACGAACTACGGAATTTGCCTTATAAAATTACACCTTAAAAGTAAAATACTTTGCAATAAAAGTAACTTTTATTTTAAAAATATGACTTTTATTAAATAAAATTATATATTTTTATGTTTTTTAAATATATAAAGTGAATCTCACAATTTAATTTTTTACTTTTAATTCGATATTTGATATCTGTATTGAAATATGAGTAACTGCAAAGTAGACGTCAAAGAGAACTTTTGATAAAAAGAAAATGGTCGGCTGCCAGGTAGACCAACCCACCGGCCTACGTTTAGTACCAAATAAGAATGACGTGGAAATTCAATATTCCAGACTGGACGACCACATGTTTTTTGTTGGATTCTTTTTCTAGCAAATATAAAGTTTTGCTTTCACATCTTTTTTTTTTCCTTCATATATTTGTATTCAAACTTATTTAATTTATATATTATAGCCGTCCATTTAAAATAATTGACAATCTTTTGCTTTGTTCATTATCTTATAAGGTGAACCTGTACTGTAATAATTAATAAAGCTTTCACAATGGCACATGCCCCGTCAATAAATACTGCACTAATTATAATTTTAACTATTTCTTATTTTTTCTATAAGAAAAACAGCCAAAATATTGTTCTACAGTGTGGTCAACAAAATAACACTATATATTAATTTATAAGAGAAAAATCAATCTGAATTAAGCAGCCTAAATATATAGAGTAGTTAATAGTTTGGTCAGCAAGATAGCGATGTTCCTCAAATTAATTTCCAAACTTATAACATCATTCATCTCAAACTTATAACGATGTATTAGAAAATATAAGACATACATTCGGTGTATATTACGAGTACTTTTTGTTTGGTATATTTTTTTATATTATGTATCATTAATGCATATTATATTGTGTATTAAGTTGTATATTATTAATATTAAAAAAATTTAAATATATTTATTACATAGTATTTTAACAGGATAAATGAGCTTATATACAATACACAAAAAAAATTCTAATATTACTAATACAAAAAAATTCTAAGTATTCAATTAAATAATTATAAAATTATCCTTAAAGTTTATTCATTTTTTTTTGTCCTAAGTTTTTATTTTTATTCGATTGTTTTTTAGTGTCTTTTATGTGTTGGCGTTTTAATAGGCTTTATGGCCTATTAAATTTTTAAAGAAAAATAAAAATTTAATCACAAATTTTACTATTTTGACAATAAATTTGATTAATTTTTTAAAAAACTTTTCACTAAAATATTTTACGTAATAATACAACTATTTAATATTATTTTTGAAAAAATAAGAAGAAGAAAAGTTGTTGGTGTTTTATCAAATATTTTCTTTTTTTTTTTGACGTAACTTTGTTGCAAAGGAAGCATACGAATAAATAAGGTGTGAAGGTTATTTTTGTAAATATATATTTTTAATAGAAATTTTGTGAGATTGATATTTTTAATACATCAAATCAAACAATGTATAAGAAATATTGTTTGCATAACTAATGCAGACATTACTAATGCGTTATTCTTATACACTCTACCAAACAATCCCTCGATATTTAGGTATAATAGATTACTTTTAATCATACACTTACTGTTTGGTTTTAATAAATGATACTCCATATTAGATACGTAATCAATCAACTTTTATTACTTTCTTAGTGCTAAAATACTTGTTATACTCATTTTTGATGAATAAAATAGTAATTTAAATGAGACGAATGATCCTTGTAGTTGGCAGCCAAAAACATGCCATACTTTTCACCGCTTTAAATACAGAAAACCGCTACTATTTCTTTCTTCATTTTCAACAACGCCTCTTTCTTCTCTCTATAACTATAATCATCAACTGGTACTTCACTATTTTCTATCTGTCCTTACGTTTGATGCAAAGAATTCTGTTTCTTGGTCCTGTTTTCAGTTGATTGATTGATAAATTTGATCAACATCTGTAATTCAATTTGTAGACAGTGGTTGTGGATCTCTTTTGAACAAGGCTACTTCTTCTTAGTTGATCAGAAAATTGAGTGATTAATAGAATTCTTGAAGCGTAGGTTGTTGTGTCTTTTTTCTTTTTAATATATATAGTACATGCTCTTACTTGCTAATATATGGAAAGTTTTGATTAGTATTGTTACAAGTTTAATTTGATCAAGATCTGTACTTCAATTTGTGATACCAACTTGACGCTGGGTGTTTAGGTTTATCTTTATGAATCAAAGTTACTACTTTAATTTCTTCATCCTCGAGAAGGGTAGTTCTTAGTTGATCTTCATATTCAAGATTGGGCTTGAGGCTTAGCTATTGAGTTGATTAAATATAGTTCTTACTATTGTGTGTCTTCTTCTTTTTTATACACAGTATATGCGTGGCCTGTAAAATCTAATCATTATTAATTTCATCTTTTCTCACTATTTTTCCATCTTTTGATAGGTTTTAAAAGATGGCAGATGCAGAAGATATTCAACCCCTTGTCTGTGATAATGGAACTGGAATGGTCAAGGTTAGTTTATGATTAAGCTCTGAAGCTATCAGAATTCAGAACAAGTCTTTTGGTTGTATTGACTGTAAATTAGCATAATAATATCTTATATTTCAAACGGATCTTTTGGTACCCATTGGTTTGAGCTGTTAAAGCTGTGCACCCTTGTAATTCAAATTTAAATTATGGTTCAGATGGTTGGGAGTATTTGTACTACTTCCTTTAATTAATGGCTCTTTTGACCTATTTTCACGCAGGCTGGATTTGCTGGTGATGATGCACCAAGGGCTGTTTTTCCTAGTATTGTTGGTCGACCTAGACACACCGGTGTTATGGTAGGGATGGGTCAAAAGGATGCATATGTTGGTGATGAAGCTCAGTCAAAAAGGGGTATTCTCACCTTAAAGTATCCCATTGAGCATGGAATAGTAAGCAACTGGGATGATATGGAGAAGATTTGGCATCATACCTTTTACAATGAATTGCGTGTTTCTCCTGATGAGCACCCTGTGCTACTTACAGAAGCACCCTTGAACCCCAAGGCCAATAGAGAGAAAATGACACAGATAATGTTTGAGACATTCAATGTCCCAGCCATGTATGTTGCTATTCAGGCGGTTTTGTCTCTATACGCCAGTGGCCGTACAACAGGTGCAACATGAGTCTTACCCTTCTTTTACAACTAAAGTTCTAATTAGTAGATTGATAATTTAACAGTCAGCATCAATTGCACTATTGTTTAAATGACTTTTTAAACGATTCAGACATGGAGAGAAGTCTGGCGATCTTGACTTCATTCGAGCTTTTAGTTCTTATGGATGGTTCTGATGTAGTTCAATATGTGTTTCCTCTTTGAGGAGATACTGCCTGTGATTGTTGCCATATTAATGGTTTTCTTTGAATCTTCAAGTTATCCCTTTCTAAATATGCTATTGGCCATCTCAACAGGTATTGTCCTGGATTCTGGTGATGGTGTCAGTCATACAGTGCCAATTTATGAAGGTTATGCCCTTCCTCACGCAATTCTTCGATTGGATCTAGCCGGGCGTGATCTTACTGACTGTCTGATGAAAATCCTGACTGAAAGAGGTTATTCATTCACCACTAGTGCTGAACGGGAAATTGTGCGCGACATGAAAGAGAAACTAGCATATGTTGCACTTGACTATGAGCAAGAATTGGAGACCGCCAGGAGTAGCTCAGCTGTTGAAAAAAGCTATGAGTTACCAGATGGTCAGGTGATTACCATTGGAGCAGAGAGGTTCAGATGCCCGGAAGTCTTATTTCAGCCGTCACTTGTGGGAATGGAAGCTGCTGGAATCCATGAAACAACTTACAATTCCATCATGAAGTGCGATGTAGATATCAGAAAGGATCTTTATGGCAACATTGTCCTCAGTGGTGGAACAACAATGTTTCCTGGTATTGCTGATCGTATGAGCAAGGAAATTACCGCTCTTGCTCCCAGCAGTATGAAAATCAAGGTAGTGGCGCCTCCTGAACGGAAGTACAGTGTCTGGATTGGAGGGTCTATCTTAGCTTCTCTCAGCACCTTCCAACAGGTAATAAATGACATAACAACCTATACCATACACTATTACAGACGTTTCCTCAAAACTCTTGCCTTGTAGTGTTGTATGTATTTTAGCTGGGATTGTTGCTGATTTTGTTTCTTTGAACTAATGCAGATGTGGATTACGAAGGGTGAATATGATGAATCTGGCCCTTCCATTGTCCACCGTAAATGCTTCTAAGCTGATCGATGAACGGAGTTCAATCTTCTCATGATCTGCTTCAACAGTTCGGTCGTAGTTCTGAGCAGGAGTTTGTTTAAGTTGGAATGTTTTTTTGAGTTTCATAAAGATGAAGGTTTATACTGTGCGATAATAGGGTGTAAGCTTTTAGATTGTACCCAATCTTTTCTTAATGTCATTTGAGTGTTTAGAGGTGATTTCTTTCCTCCTTGCTTTTAATTTCCTTGTTCTTCTGTATTTTTGGATTGTTTTTTCTGTGTATACCGAGTAATATAATGTCAGTTCATGGTTTAGAAATCTTTTGTATATGGTGTCTCTGCATCGTCTCATGCTTTATACTGAGAGATAGTAGTGGCGGAATCAGAATTTTTACTAAGAGAATTTTCCCTTGCACCTCCCGTCATTTGGTTGGCCACACAACGAAATGATATATAATCCCGGCATAAAGTTTAATATAAAATAAGATAACGTTTAGTTTGTATCATAAGGCAAACTTTTTTACATTACTTGTATCACTAAATATAATAACTTGAAAAATATTAAAACAAAAATTCTCTCGTGTACGAAGACTCGAACATGACATCTGTGGAAAAAGGAAAAAAAGGGACTAATCAAATTCCCAGAAGGGGCATAGGTTAATGAGATGCGCTATATTTTTGGGTGTTCACTTCCACCCCAAGATTGAAGCGTTAATGGAGGATATGTGTTCTACTTGGTTAATATAATGTCCTTTTTTACTTTATTTGGAGAAATATGAAAAACCAAGTTTTTTTTTGTGTTCTCTCAATGCAAAAGGTTCAATTTTTAATTCAAAACCATGATACAGAGTTGTGGGGCTGCCCTTTTGTTTGGTTATCTTTTTCATGTTATTGAATCAAGAAACCTCCCTCGGGTGCTAATCTTTAAGGTTTGCAGGTTTTGGTTTCAGCTTACTGCTATGGAAAATGTTCATTCCAAGATGCTGAAAGGCGGCTTATTATAAAGGATTGTCCTTTGCCCTTTAGACATATTTCCCACTAGTATATCAACTTACGGTTTGGCACCGCAGAAAATATGCAAGTGATGATGAGAAATCTAGTAGTTCGGAGAAAATTATCAGGCATAATGTATGTGGAGAGACGAGTAGGAGTTGGTACATTATCTATGTTGTTGTATTTTGAAGAATCCATACTCATTCTTACAGTTTTGACATTTGTATGCAGAAGCAAATTAAATTTTCCCTGTGACATGGGATGACAGCAGATAAGATGGAAGAGAAGACGGTGAGACTTCTAGTTTCCACGGTTTCGTACATTGGAGAGTATGCTGCTTAGGACTTGAGCTGTATTATATTGAGATGTATTATATTGGAATCAAGCAAGTCTCTTAATTAACCCAAACAATAGAACTAGGAGACTGTTTCAAAGGCCATGTCTTAGATAGGTTGTAAAAGATGTGATACACTTGGTGTCTAACTGATATGCTTGGGATAAATCTATACAAAGATCTTGAGCTCAAAATAGTTGTTTCTCCAGGAATTATTTAGATTGTACCTGTACCATGTATTGACTCTTAGCTGATTGCTGCAGTTGGTTTGTGGCGATGTATTTGACCTTCCTGTAGTCCTCATGACCTCGAAAGTTGCTAGGCTGGACGGTTAAAAGCAATGGACCAGATAAAGTCATCACAAGATAAAGATTCTAATATGACATTGTGCTTCTAAAAGAGGAAGGAACAAGCGGAAGCACGTGAGTTTATGACCCTCCCTGCCTTAAACTAGAGAAAAAGAGCCCATTATCCTGTGGAGATAATGTGACCTAAAGGTAAACCAGATTGAGTATTTGCATCTCTGAAGGCTGAGATATGAAAGTGGTGCATGAGGCTTGAACCATATTTTCTGACATTAGAAACGGTTAACAAGAACTCCATGCTCATTCAAGGGAACTGTAAGTGAGCTGTCCTTTTTCATTCAGATGCCATATGCATGCTTCCTTCTTCATTATCTTTCTCCCTTTGCTTTGGATATGACGGAAGTAGATTATTTATCAAAAGAAGAAGTGAACTAACTCACTATTCTGGTCTTATCAGATGCACGCTAGAGTTGTTGTATCAAGAAATGTGGTACCAAATGGCTTAGATTTCTTTTGTGACCATCTGAGCTAGAGCTTCAACAGCATGTGCTTTTCATTGGTATGAATGAATTTAAGTGCCTAATGCTTTCATGCATGATATAGGATCATAAAACAAAGCACTCATTTTCTTGTTTATTTATCTAATTAATTTCCAGTTACTTCTGTTATTGGTTTGTTAAGATCATAATTGAAAAGCTGTAAAATTTACAAGACAAAAATTTTGGTAGCTGTAAATTTTAAATGTACTCCGGTGTTTTTGGTTCCGATAGTTGAATTAATATCCATCATCTTCGCTACTATGACCTAAACTCATTACCTGTGCGTCTCTTATTCTTCCTCCCCACTATTGATTTCTTTTCTTTTAAATGCTGATTAGTTTCTCTGTTATCTTTCCTTTTTTGCTAACCGGAAGATTTCCTGTTCATTCACCATAGGACATCATATACACTATTCAATGAATCATTAGAGGCACTATGTAGCTCCTTTCTATGTTAGAGGTTTGGTACATGTCCCCCCAAATTTTTTGGTGTACCATTTTGTGGATGAATAGACATGGTAGGGGTCAAGCCTAACCCCTACACACCTAGGCTCACAACCTTTAGTGATGGCTTAATTTAAGAAGAGGCACTCCAAGAAATGAAACAGAGGAGACATAAATGGTTAAGCAGGGTAAGAAGCTAAGTTAAATAGTTATAGGGATCATGAAATTTTTGAGGGAAGATTACTCAGTTACTGAACCACATCAGTCCCTGTGGTGCATCCTGTTGATAACATTATATTTTTTGTATAGTGACTTAAGTTCCTGGTTGGGATGTCAGCACTTGGATGATGATTGTAGCAGCAAGGCAACAGAAAAAAAAATTGTTTTTGGGATTGAAGTTGCTGAGAGTTTAACCTCTCTCACAGAGAGAGAGAGAGAGAGATTTGATGATCGAAATCTTTTCCTCACCTCTACACCTCATATCTCTGACAAAGTTGTTTATCCATTGTATCTTTATCTACTAATTTTGTCTTAATCATGTTCAGATACATTTGGGGGATAAAATGGGAGAAGCAAAAGGAAATATGAACAGCTATTAAAAGCAATAGCTTATATATGCTTATGATACCTGTTCAAAAAAAAAAAGCTTATATATGCATTGAGATCCAGTAGGCACTACTTGTCATCTCTACTATATTTATCAAAGGGTGCATTTAAGATTGATATTCTATGTTCCAAATTTAGCATTTGCCTTGGGGTAAAATTGAAGTTGAGAACAATTTTATCCACTTGGTTGTGAGTTGATATAAATGTATTGCCTGAAGTCATTCTCCAAACAATGTGATACAACCCACCCTATGGGGTGGCGGAATGGTTTGGGCTTGGGACTTCCATGTTGGAGGTCTCAAGTTCGAAATCCCTTGCTAGCGAAAGCAAAGGATTTGCCTTTTGGGTCGAGCTCGTCGCACCGGGCTTTCCTAGTGCAGGTTACCTCTCCTATGTGGTTTGCTAGCTATTGCATAGGAGCAAGGGTTTTACCCTGTGCACACCCAAAGGGTAGCGGCTGCAAGTTTCCCTTGTCATAAAAAAAGTACAATGTGATACAATCCAAGGAGAACCACACCCCAAAAACTAGCTATTAAGGTGGGAGAGCCCAAGATCGTATAAACCCCACATCAGCTCCCCATTTAACCGTGTGAGACTTTTTTTGCAATAGGACGACAACGTAATGTTGTGGGTGTTCGAAGTAGTTTTTAATTTTTTTGGTAGGAAAAGCACTTTAGGGAGAGGCTCGTGGGTTGGGGCGAGAATCCCCAGAATGTATGTGGCATTTACTTTTCCAAGATTGATATGCTGCGTATTTTCCACTCTCATTTATTGGATTAAGTGAGCTGATGTGTGAAGGCATTGTCACTTAAAACCACCTGTTGCTACCATCGTCCAGTTGTCATCAGCAACGGCCCTCGTATTACAAACCTCACTTCTATATTAAGTTCTCTTCTTCCTAGGCGATGAAAACAAGGTGTTACACGGAGCGCTCAGTAGTCCCTTGTGCCTCCTCCTTAGAAGTAATCAAAATCTTATATTTAAAGGCTTGAAAGATTACTTTATATTACTTAGTAAATTCATTTTCTTCTTTTTTTGCATTGTATCTGCATTGGTATGATGTGTTTGAATCAATTCTTTCCCTTTCTTGTTAGTTCTTCATAACTAGGAATTTTTCTTGTAGTTCTATTGTTTCCATCGAAATAACATGAGTTCTTTTTGTATGTTAACTCTAGGATAAAAGTGTTACGTACTTTGTATTCAATGTCTCCTAGCCTTACTACCCCCCTTTCTAGTTGCAGATCTAGTAAATCGAGAATCCACATTTTCTATATCTTTTGTTATGCATGAACTTAATTCTGAGAACTTGTATACCCTTCCTTCGATGAATGAGCAAAATCATGTGTTTTTTTTACTTGCTTTATTAATGGATATATCTGTTTCTCCTTCCTTATCAGTAGTAGCAGCATTATTCTTGTAACCCCTTTTCCTTCGGTTCATGTTACTACTTGTTGTTTCTAGTGTTTCAGTTATCGCGTTATTTGGCTGTTGATACTGCTCCTTTTCTCTGAATGCTATGTAATGCTTTCCTTCTTATTTACTATGAAATCTTTGATTCCTTATTTCTTGTCTACTGGATTTGATATAACCTTATTTGAGCCGAGGGTCTTTTGAAAACAACCTATCTACCTCCATGAGGTAGGGGTAAGGTCGGGTACACTCTACCCTCCCCAAATCCCACCTGTGGGATTATGCTGGTATTTTGTTGTTCTTCTTTATTAATGGAGAGTGATGATTCATATAGCCAACCCCAACTTACTTGGGATTGAGGTGTAGTTGTTGTTTACTTTAGTATGTTTTTGCTGTGTTAATGTGAAACATAGATTCATCGTCTTGATTTTTGTAACTCCAGGATTAAGTGGACCGTGGGATTTGTTCAGATCAATGCAAGTTAATCACCATCTAGCTGGTTACCCTAACCAGGGTCCAGTGGTTCTTATGCAGCATGCTCCACAAGTGAGGTCCTCTGGTGTAAGCAACATGGAAGACACCCCCCAAGAAATGCAGTTGCTTGGTGCTGTCAGACTCAATAGAGTTGAGATGCCTGAATCGTATCATGAGGGTTTGAATGATGCAAGAGAAGTCTCTGGACATACTGAAGGGAAGCAGCCAGTGTATCAGCGTATGAAATGGTCAAATGACATGGTTAAGCTTTTGATTACTGCTCTTTCTTACATCGGAGAAGATGCTTTGAGCAATGGAGTTCTTGTCAAGAAGGGAAAATGGAGGGCCATTTCCTGTGTTATGTCTGAAAGAGGTTATCGTGTATCACCTCAGCAATGTGAGGATAAGTTTAATGATCTCAACAAAAAATTCAGGAGACTGAATGATGTACTTGGGAGAGGTACGGCATGTAATGTTGTGGAGAATCCTGTGCTTCTGGAAATAATGGACCTACCTAATGATTTGAAAGAGGAAATGAACAAGATTTTAGGTAGCAGACAATTGTTCTATGAAGAAATGTGCTCATACAACAATCAGAATAGATTGTTCCTTCCCCATGATCCGGTGGTTCAGCAATCTGTGTTTTGGGCTGTGAGAGGTAAGTATAAATATGAAACTGGAAGCATGTCGCAGGATTTGCCTTTGAAGAGGAATATAGGAGGAGAAGAAAGTCTGGACCATAACACTACAGCAGATCCAAATTTGGTGCAGCATATGCCTGCAAAAAGGAAAGCACGAGGCGAAGAAAGAAATTTGCATATGGCCCGTTTATCCCTGAACGGTACCGCTACATTAGATCCAGATCCAAATATGCTTTATCCTAATAGCAATGGGATTCAACTCTCTTTGAACAAGAAGGAGAAAAAAATACAGGATGAGCATGTTCTCCTTCGCTTACAGAAAATGGAAGAACAAAAGCTACTGATTCAGGGCAAATTACTGGAATTGGAGAAGCAGAGAGTCAACTTGGAGATTTCCTGCAGTGAAGAAGACATGGGTTTACAAAAGATGCAGCTGGATAATAAGGTTATCAAGCTTGAGAATAAGCAACTGATGCTTGAACTCAAATGTGGTGGAAAGCAGCGTTTAGTCTGAATCATGTACCAGTGTTGCAGTTTATGTGGTCTGTACTTTTCTGTCTTGAAGCACCTTCTTTTTAACTTTCAATGTGTATTTTCTGTGTATTTTCTCTTCTTGTTCATGTTTACCATCTTTCAGTGTAGTATGTGGAAACTTTTATGTTCGGCCTCATGACTGTACCTTTACTCTATTAGCACTAATTTGGGCTACTTTATTTATGATGGTTTTGATACTACATGCTGGTTGACTGGAAATTTGTATTACATTTCAGAAAATTACTGGTGGTATTGTAGCTAGAGCTGGCAGAACTTCTGTCTGAACTTGTCCATGTTAAATCATTTCTTCCTTTTGCTGTCTAGAAATTGAGAAGGTCCTATAGCTACACTATTTTTGTATGGTTACTGGTTAAGATTTGTGAGATATTTTACAGGAGGTCATAGATTTGTGTTGTGGAAACTGCCTCTTGGAGAAATGCAAGGTAACTCTGCATACGTACAATAGAGCCTTGTGATCTGGCAAGCTTAGTGTACCGGGCTGCCCTTTTTCATGCCTTCTAACCTTTGAGACCCTGTAACCAACTTTCGCTGTAGCTTCCTTAGATAAATGTAGAACAAAAACTTGTTTGACTAGAAAAAGTTGAATTAGAGTCCATGTTGATTTCTCTTCAGCAGCAGCTGTTTGTTTAGCATCAGTTTCACCTGATACCTTTGCTGCTTCTGGTTTTTCGTATGTGGTTACCGAGTTCTTCTCAGCTTTAGCTAATGATTCCTTTAATTTGTTGCTTCACACTGTGCCACTCATAGTAGTATTGCTACAGGGACAGAGTCAGAATTTGAACCTTATGAGTTTGAAATTCCATGATAGAGATATCAGATGTTAGTTACTGGATCTCGAGTTCAATTTTTGTGCGTAGTAAGTGAATTTATCAACACAATGGACTAAAGCTACTGGGTTCGATCGAACCTAAAGGTACCTGTATTGCTACATTCTGTAATAATCTTCTGTGTGTATATATATATATGCCTCAGTGAGCATTGATGCTATATCTCCAGCCAGCTTCATATCCTCCACCTTCTTTTCTCCGTCTTCTCCGTTAATCTGCTTGTCAACTGCCGTCACCTCCGAGGGGCGGCCGTGGTAGTCTCCTCCTCTTTTGATGAATATTTTTTGCTTCAAATATGAATATTACACATATATGGGGAAAGTGAAATATATATCACAAGTAATTCCAATTTTCTGTCTCAGTCGAAGAGAGTTTTAAGGAAAGTAAATGTGCTATTTATGGAATGTTACTAATTACCTCAGTTTGGATGAATGAACCACAAAAGGGCTAAATTTTTTTTTGTTGGTAGAATAACAAAAGAGAATTATACCCTTCGGGTGCCCTAGTGGTTTGAGTTTGGGACTTTCATGTTGGAGGTTTCATGTGCGAAATCCCTTGCCAGCGAAAGCTATGAGTTAGCCTTCCAGGGCAAGCCTGGAGCTGGTTATCTCTCCCATGTGGTTTGCAAGTTATTGCATAGGAGTGGGGTTTTTACATGTATACCTTTAGTCTAATGTAAGCTACATTGTATACCTTAAGATTATATTTACATTTTTAACCTCCAAACATATTTCTAGAATCCTCACAGATTGATTTAATTTATCCTTTTTTTCTAAATCAATGAACACATATGCAAGTTTCTCTTCCTTTCTCTTCATATCAAACATCTCAAAATAAATCAAAATTAATTAATTATCATTTCATATTATTTAATGACAGATAATATTACGGTAAGTCATTATAACTAAACAAAATTTGAGGAATAAAACTTTTATACTAACCTAGTCTCTCCCGCTTTTACCTCTCTAATTTACGTCATGCATGATTTCATTTATGTAACAAAAACAGAAAAGTAACACTATAAATATATACAGTTGTGAATATATAACTTTTTATTTTATCCATACATGTGTATTCTTCTTTTCTTTTTTCCCTATTTCTCGTGATTTTCTTTAACAAATTTTCACCATTCCCCCAAAGCCAAAACTCTCTTCTAAACATTTTTTTTTTTGCTTAATTTTTAGTAAAATCTTTTGATTTTTCATCTTGTAGATTAATCTATCTGCATGCAAAACAAGAACGTAAAAAGAAGAAGAGGGTTATAAACTTAAAACCCTCTTTTTTTACGTTCTTGTATTGTTGATCATTTTGTGTGTCCCTCTTCAAGAAACCCCCTTTTTTCTTTGTTGGGGTAATTTTTGGGTTGTTGAAAGAGAGAACACAGCAGAGAAGATTAATGGAAAATTTATGCAATGTTTTGCATGGAATGAGGCCACTTTTGCTTATGATTATGGGGCAAATGATACTTACTGGAATGAATATTGTGTTCAAACTTGCAACAAGCGATGGCATGAATTCTAGTGTTTTGATCTTTTATCGCTCTCTGTTCGCCTCTGTTTTCATGATCCCTTTAGCATTCTTCATTGAAAGGTTCAATCTTTGATTCAAGAACCTGTATTTATTGTATGAAATGAAAATCTATGGAAGTTTCATTCTAATTTTTGTTGTTTCAGGGGAAAAAGAGTCAAGCTAACAAAGATGGTTGTATTCCAAGGTTTTCTGTGTGGTCTTCTTGGGTAAAGCTCTTCTATCTTTTTTTTTTCTTCTTTTTCTGAACTCTTGAGGGTTTATCGGAAACCGCCTCTCTCCAGGTAGTGGTAAAGTTTGTGTACACTCTATCCTCCCTAGACCGCACTTAGTGAGATTTCACAGGGTATGTTATTGTTGTGTATCGGTTTCTAATTCTTTAAGTTGATGCACCTACTTGTTTAGTTCAGTTCAAGAATGAAACAGTGTTTGGTCATAAGGTTTCTTGATCATTTTTGTATGTGTTTTAATTTGTTTGTCTCGTTTTGACTTGACACGAAGTTTAAAGACATACGATGTATCGGATGTTCTTTAATCTTGTGGTAGTGGTGTAAGGCACACGTAGAAAGTTGAAATTAAAGAGTTTCCTAAAGAGAAACAGAAATCCTAATTGAAAAATGGCTAAGATGGAGTGAGATTTTTGTAGGGAATTGATAAGAAATTATAGCGAATGGGTTCCTTTTGTTGCAGGGGATCAATAGGCCAAAACATGTACCTGCAAAGCTTGGTGTACACCTCAGCAACTTTTGTCTCAGCCATGTTCAATCTTATCCCTGCCATGACCTTTATCGTTGCCATCATATTGAGGTACTTCTTTTGCGAGGATCGTTGAGTTCACTAGTTTCATTAAATTTCAAACAAATGAGGTAGTATTATTGTGCATTGACCAGGTTAGAGAGGTTGGGTTGGCATTCAGCAGCAGGTAAAGCAAAGGTATTTGGGACAATCATTTGCATCAGCGGAGCGATGCTCCTATCACTCTACAAAGGGCCAGAGATAAATATGGGGAGCACACACATAAACTTGTTGCATTCCACAAAGCATAAGGTGGAAAATAAACCTTTAATAGGTGCTATTCTTGCCATAGCTGGTTGTACTTGCTATGCACTATTGTTGATTGTTCAGGTGAGTTATAAGTGATGCTTTGGGGAGTATGTAATATGTAGTTTTAAAAAGCATTTTTGTAACTTATCAAGGTTAGGGATGTTGAGTTAGCATTAGGGATAAGTTGTGTGCTGGTGCAACAGTGTATATATCAAAAATTGTGAAGGTATTGTCTATTTTTACCAATGTATGTGTTTGTTTATGTACAGGCTAAAGCGGCTAAACGATATCCATGTCCTTACTCATTCACCGCTCTACTGAATGTAATGGCAGCAGTTCAATGTTTTGTTGTTGCAGTACTTGTGGAAAGAGATTGGAATCAATGGAAATTGGGGTGGAACATCAGACTTGCTGCTGCAGCATATACGGTAATGAGAAATAATAGATCATCATTTCTTAATTGAAAGTGTAAAGGATGATCATCGATCGATCTCATATAGTGTTGAAGTTGTGTTTCAGGGGGTTTTTTGTTCTGGAGTACTGTTTACCATCCTTGCATGGGTTGTCCGGATGAAAGGCCCAGTATATGCATCCATTTTTAACCCTTTGATGCTTGTGATGGTGGCAATTGCTGGATACTTGTTCTTGGGAGAAAAGTTGGTCCTCGGAACGTATGTCATTTCTCCCCTTTCACAGTCAGCCAAAAAACACAAAAAAAGTGAAAATTTTTAACATGTTTGTGTTCACTGCAGCATCATGGGATCAGTCATCATAGTGTGTGGACTATACATTGTCTTGTGGGGAAAAGATAAAGAAATCAAGAAAGTGAGCCAGTTGGTTCCGAATGAAGAAGGAATAACTGACGTAAAATCTTCGTCGCGTAAAGGGAGTAGCCATGGTGGTAGCAGCAAAAGGGAGGGAAAAGAAGAAGAAGAACAAGAAGAGATTAAGAGGGATTCACAAGTTGGTTCTGAAATATTAGGAGGTATATATATTTATCACTAGAAGATGAATGTATCATCAAAAAGTGATGAAACAAGAAATACCATTTTCCCCCCTTTATGATGGTCGATAGAGTTACACAATGTGCAACATTAGAACAACTAACTGAAGTTTTGTGTCGATTATATGACAAGCTAAGAACTAATTGTACTACGATGAAAATGAATATAATAATTTTTGTTGTCACGTTATTATTTGTTCAATTTTACACTAATTTAAGATACAATTAGAGGTGCATAGATATCAAAAATCATGACTTGTGAATTTTACCTCTTACAATTAACATATAACCATTTATACAAGAACAACAACAACAACTATGGCCTTTCCATTTCCACACAAATTAAAAATCATACTTCTCATGACTTGTGAATTTTACCTCTAAGTTTAACACCAAGAACGTTCTCCATTTTCCCCAACACTAGTTGATTAGGCACTGCCTTACCATTCTCATACTCGGCAACAACCTGCGTCCTTTCATTGATCTTCTTCGCTAGATCAGCTTGGCTCATCTTCTTCTCAATCCGCGCTTTCTGTATTGCTTGCCTTACACCCACCGGCAATTTCTCAAGTGCCGCTGGTTCCGCCGCCTCATCTAGCTTTCTTACATTAACTGCCAACGTCGCCGCCTTCTTATTCAAACCAGCGTCGATTTTCTTCACCGTTTGAACTTGTGCTCCAGCTCGCAATGCCTGATTCACAATTTTTGGATCCTTCAGGTCTTGGGCCTTCATCTTTGGCTTCTGCAGCACGATTGGATCCCAATCTTGTTTCAATCCCCCTGTTGGTCGCATCGGCATCTTCTATCAATCAAAATATCTAAGTCAATTGATTAATATGATTTTTGTTAGTTGGATGAACTTTTGATTGAGGAAAAACATGGCAGAGGAGGCTCTTATATATAGCGGAGAGAATCTAGAAAGTTCTGGTAAAATGTGGAGAACAAAGGGTGTATGGAAAGTTCTGGAGTCAGCTTGAACTTGTTCTCCAAGAATAATATACTAATTTTCGTATATCTTGAAGTCCACACAAAGTAATTTCAGAATGGGTAAAATTTTAATAAAAAACTTATTTATATTATTAATTAAAATTTGACATATTATGTCATTATTGTTCCAGAAAAGCCTTGTCAATGTCATTATTTTTTAATAATAGTTTTGCAAAATACTTCCCACAGTTTTATGAACTAGCGTAATTCATAACTTAATTCAATCCTTTTAAGAAAAAAATATTAACTTGGCAATCAATAATTTAAGGAATAATGGTATGAAATAACAAATTAATAATGTAAAATAAATATAATAGCTATCGTTTGATTTATTTGTGTTTCATAGCAAACTATTTGTTAATCGTATCTATCCCTCATATTCTCGCTCGTCACTCTTCCTCTCTCGCTCGCTCCCAGTTGCTCTCCTCTCTCGTTTTATACAATAGAGCAAAAATTGTATAAAACGAGAGAAAATTGTATATACACATACAAATACATATATTTCGTCATATATACTTATAATTATACAATGCAAAACTTTTTCTGCCCAATTTTCTATTGTCTTGCTCTCTTTCTCGTTTTATATATACAAAAATTATATAATTGATTTGTATAAATTTTTACATTTGCAAAAGGATACTTTTGTACAATGTTCATTTAAACATTTACAATTGCACAAACTTACACACATACCTAAATTGAAATCTGTTTATATAATGTATATATACAGAATCATACATCCAAACTAAGGACGAATCTTCATTATATAAATATACAAATAAATATTTTCTCTTTTCTCTTTACGTTATACAACTTCTTTTGCACGGTATAAATATACTAATTATACGATTCACCAAACAAAGATTCATCCGTAATTTACAAATAGATGCTTTTCTCTTTTCTCTTTACATTATACAATTTCTTCTGCACCGCATAAATATACTAATTTAGGTATGTGTATTCCATTCCATTACATCAATCTTCAGTTTTTCGATTTTGGAAAAAGAATTTTGAAGCCAGAATAAAGAATAATTTACAGCATTTACAATATTTTAAATGATATTTTAGGCTTTTTTCCGGACTTATTTCTCCCTCGTTCACCTTGAGGGGGTCATGGCAATTTTCATCCGGTCATTTTCCGACCCGACTTCACCGTCCTCATCGTTTGCCTACAAAACCTCCAATATCAAGCTTTTCGAGTAGCGATGTTCACGAAACACGAGATAAAATCTCAGTTCGTGTTACTGGCAGATGCTCTTGAAGCGTCGGCAGATATGAATATTATATGCTTGTTTTCATGGTTCTCAAAACTGTGAGAGTTTCAAATATGCGATGTTACCTACTTTTTTTTTTTTTTGCCTAATTATGATTTTGTGATTACAAAAAAGCAACACAGAGAAAAACCTTATATTACAAAAACTGAAAGAAGAAAGCTTTTGTTGATGATATATGTATATTGGTGATCTCATTGAATCGTCGTTACAAATTTTAGTGGAAGCTTCTAAAATCGTGCATATATAGTTTGTGTCTTAACTTTAGCCCCAAACATGATTGAGGTGTCTGAAGTTAGATTGTTGGGTTAGGCTCGCGTTATGAGTTGAAACCCTGCTGCACACAAACAAGGTATTTAAGTGGAGAAAGGCTCCATATCCACTGAGTTTCAAATCACGAGCCACTGAACCTCTAGGCCATCAAGAAAAGGATACAAAAACATCACCATTAAAAAGTTGAATCCTGTTTAGATCCTCTTTGACTTGCATTCCATTACTATTGAGGTTCTTTCAACTTCCCAAAAAAGAGGTATTGGTTCTTCGTTGTGTTGTTTCTGTAAGGAAGCCTCTCTCTCCATTTGATGCTTTGCCCGAGATATGTTTTTACCACCACTGGTGCAATAAATTGTTCATCTCCGACTTTGCAGGGGTTGCTCGTTAAAATTCTAGTTATCAAATCTCACCATTTTTGGCTGGATGCAGAGCACCTTCAGGAAACCATTCAGAATGTTTTAATTTGTGTGGAGATGGTTTTCTTTTCTGTTCTGCTGCAATATGCATACCACGTGGTTCCTTACAGCTATGTCGAAGCAAATTTAAACTGAAAAAGGATGACTAAGTTGATGCGGCGTGAATAGGCAATTTTCCCGTGATCTTGCAGTAACGGTGTGTAATACAAGTTTTTGGATCTGTTGATACGGATTAGAGAGGTCTTGAGATAAGTAATTTTTAGCAAAGAAGATTGAAATTTCTATCCTTTTCTCTTGCAACCAATTTTTACTCTTTTTTGTTTGGACTTATTGTAGTTCTTTTTCTTTTATCTATTGGCACAATCGTTTGGGCAGTATCTAGTCCATTTTCTCATAGGCTTGGATATGAACATTCTTTGATAGGATAGTTATTTTGATATTCCCTTTAAATTGGTTAAATTAGTGTTCAATTTGATTGAAACGATGAAATTGTTTTTTTAAAAAAAAAAGAAAAAAGAAAAGGCATCTTCTACGAAATGGGTAAATAAATACGTGATGACTTCATTGCCGATGAAAATCGTTGCAGCATTAATGCTATAAATATCTCTTCTCCATCTTTTATAATTAATTCACACCCACTTTAAAATAAAATTAAAAAGGCATCTAACTATACAGAAAAAAAATGATGGAGAAGAAGAAGAAAATGAATGCAGTGGGAACCATGGCTATTGTGCTGATGATCCTTCTATCTTCCAACACAGACACTGTCGGCGTCGCTGCTCAAGACGTCGATTGCTAGGACTCTTGTAACACCGCCTGTGTTGGTCACTCATGTATTATATATCTTCATTTCTCCCTTTTATTATTTTTTGAATTAATTTATAGTTAGTTTAACTATACGATCAATCAATCGAATCGTTATGTTAATTATTGGTTAAAGCAGAATTATTCAGATCTCAAAACTAGTATAATCTTTTTTTAATAGCAAGAACTTATATATATATTTTTTTTCAGAATAGATCACTCAATTTTAAGTTGTTTATTTAGAAATTTATTTAATTTTATTTTTTAATTCAAAAGTTTAAAAAGTTACTTAATTAATTTAAATAACTTTGTTCATTAAATTTTATAAAAATCAAAAGAAATAGTTAAATTTTTTTAAAAATAAATAAGATGCTTATTTAGTTATTGTTTTTTTACTACCTTCTCATTAAAAAAAATACTAGAAGCTTCTTATCAATTCCAATTTTTCTTTAATGGTAAGAATTTTCAATTTTTTTTGGAGGGGGGAGGGGGAGGGGGAGGGGAGGGTGCAGAATTGTTACTGTAAGTTTTTTTTATATAAAAATTATAATTAAATAGTTGGAGCAAATGATAAAATAATTAAAATAGATATCTTATTATTTTTTAAAATATAGTTTAAGATTAAATTTAATGAAAAATTTATTTAAATTATTGAGTGACTTTATAAATAAAATATAAATAATTGAGTGATTTTCTAAATTAAACATCATTAATTTAATAACTTTTAAATTATAAAATAAAATTGAGTGACTTTTTAAGTAACCAACTTAAAGTTTAGTGACTTTTTAAATAAACAACTCAAAATTGAGTAAACTTACGAGGTATTAATTTTTTATTTTTATTTTTTCCAGGGAGAGAGTACCAACGTTGCGACGAAAAATGTCAGATTAGATGCGGACCAGGTAATTCCTTTTTTTTTCTTTTTCCTTTTCCATTTTTCAGCAATTATTTTTGCGACATTATGGAAGTTAAGATCGTCTTACTTTTAATTTTTTTTAATCATGCAGCTTTAATTCAAAATTTAACTATTGATTTTTCATTTTGCAGATGGCAAAATTGATACAAACCTGGGTTAAAAGTGCTGAAAATTATTGAGGCTATTATATATTGTAGCGGAAATCCACAATAATAATAATAATTGTTATCTTTGATAATAATTTCCTCGTAGTTGGGAAAATAAATTGTAACCTTTAATTACTATTATGGTTTCTTCTACTTCTTTTTTCTTTAATGGTAATGGATGCATTTTATAATAATGCAAAATTATATTTGTCAATTTATAGATCAAAGTATATACAGAGACGTTTTAGAATTTTTGATACCTCACATGGAAATTGTGACCAACCTAATCTTAGATCTTATCTTAATCATTCATGAATTATTGAGAGAAATCACTTTTCACTTTTTGTCCACACACGTCTGCATATTTAATAGACTTATACAGAAGCCAGATAAAATCAGAGAACTTCGAATGAGAAAAGGCCAAAATACAGCTAATCCAAATTTTTGATTATGAAAGATTCAATCATTGTCCATATACTCTTTCCGACTTTAATTATTATATTTTTCAAACTTATCTTCTTTTTTATTTTTATAAAGAAAATCTTATTTATAATGCTACTATAATATGTTAATTCTCTGAGTTTAACTTCCATGCATTATCAGTGTATACATTTTTTTTACCCTAGCACATACTTTTAAGGGCAAGTCTTTTTTTTTATTATTGATATTTTTATTTTATAAAATTTAAGTATCAAATATAGTAATGTATGGTAATTGGGATTTTATTTTTATTTTAGAGTTTAAGATTCGTTTTTCTTACTAAATAAAATTACCATGTTTGTTTTACCAGTGTACTTTTACAGAATTTCCTTTAACATTACTGTTGCTTTTCTTGTTAAATAACATTGAAGCAAACCACGATCATCCGCCATTGAAACGGTTTAAAGAGAAACTATTATAAACAGAATTTATGATAACTATTTATTCGCTATGTATATCTATTTCAAATTTACAAAATACATGTAATCATATCTATTACCATTAATTTTCAACATTCACACTCTATAACATTTAGTTTGTCTCTTCACCAATTATCAAAATTTCTCTATTTTCTTTGTTAATGGAGTTTGATGGATTCTTGCCCTTTTTTTAGAATTGTTCTCCTCTTAAGTAATCTAATATCCATAAACTATATGTTGCAGGATAAAGTAGGACTTCCTACGGAAGACATCACATGAAGTGACTTGCATAATATTCACGGAGAGATATTGAAGATGTTGTCATGGAAAAGCAAAAAGCTCAATTTCTTTATTAATCTCTGGTCGTTCTTTTGAATTTGTGTTGTATATACGAAATAATGTAATACAATTTCATATGTGAATTATTTTTGGACTTTAAGTCTAAACTAACAACAAGAACTATGGCGTCAAGCTAATATTGAAAATTCAGTTAAGTTTATGAACTATTGTAGTTTGTTGCATGAAGGGAGAAAATTTGTGATTGTCATTTATTTATTTGAAAAAAGAACTATACTGTTTAAGTTCTTTTTAGCAAGATATTATAAAGTTTTTAATAGATGTATATCAAGTAGTTCTTCCGTTTGCTTTGCAACTAATACAATTTTATATTCACTACAAATATTGTGTATATTGCCAGTTACAGCTATGACAACCATTAAGATATACAAAATTAATTATTGTGAACCGTATCACAAAATATTTTAAAGCGTTAAACTTAAATGGGTGGTCTAAAATATTTTACACTTTTTGTAGTAAACGAAATAGAAACTGAAGTACTGTTTTCACCTATCTGTGCAACGCTTCAATAAATATCAAAGTGATAAAAAAAATTACTTATTAAAATTTTATGATTGAAAATGTAGACAAAAAAAATCATAATGTCATCTATTTGATAAATAAAAACAGAGGATCGAGTAAATAAACACACAAATCAATGATTAAAAGCTCAAAAACTTGAGTTAAAATGATAATTGTGCCAGGAGTATATAAAAATTGTACTTAAGAAGTTAAAATTATTTTCTACTGTAAGAAAAATTAACAACATAATTCTAGAAAATCTTGCAAATGGGTAAAATAAAGATAGAATTCTAATTACCTTATATTATTAAATTTGATATTTATATTTCATAAAATAAAAATATTAATAATAAAAAAGAATCTTGCCTTAAAAGTATATGTTAGTGCAAAAAAATATACACCGACAGTGCATATAAGTTAAACTATAATTCCTCTGTTTTTTTAAAAAATAACCTCCTTTTTTTTAGTATTTTTCAAAAAGAATGATATTTTTTTTTTGGAAACAACTTATCACGTGGCATGTTTAAGGCTACAAGATCAAAGAACAATTTTATACATTTGACATAACTTTAATTTAGGACCATAAAATTTAAATTTTTTTATACTTTTAAACCACATATCAAATCAAACTAAGTTATTATTTGTGAAACGGAGAGACTTACGTATCTGTAATATGTTGTTGTTAGTGCCCTTAATTATCAAGTAAAAGGCAGATAATTCAAAAAGAATGTTTCTATTTTCTTTTTAATTTGTTTCATAAAGAATGATTTTTATTTTTTGCAACATTTTAACTTTACATATTACATGTTTAAATCCATAAGATTAAAGAACATTTTAATATACTTGACATAACTTTAATTTATAATCACAAAATTAAAAAATATTTTTTTTCCTTAAATTATGTGTCAAGTCAAACTAGATTTTTTTTTAAAAAAAAAATTAGTCTTATCCAATATATCGCCAGTTGTACCAATATAGAAGCTTTATAAATACATCTACCGACAGTCCTCTCTTCCAAACATAGAAGAAAAAAATGGAGAAGAAGAAAATGAATTCAGTTGCAGCTATGGCTATGGTGTTTATGATCCTTCTATCGGCCAACATCGACACAGTTGGCGTCGCTGCTCAAGGCGTCAATTGCTATGATAACTGCAACACCGGATGCGCCGGTCTCCCATGTATGTCTATTAATAATAGCGGAATCAGAAATTTTACTTTCAATAGACTAATAATTACTTGTAGGATTTAATTTTACAATGAAGCTAAGGAAGTTCAATGGTACCTATCAAAAAGCTTCTTTAATTAAAACAAAAAGTAGATCCGTGTTTATAATAACATAAATAATTTGTTAATTTTTCAGCCAAGCAATATATCAAATGTGATAAGAAGTGCCACAAAAGATGTGGAGATGGTACACCTACTAATTCTCTCTCTTTTTAATTTTCCCAATTTATAATTTGAAATTTAACTTTATTCTTCAATTTTTAGATGACAAAATTGATGGAAACGTTGGTTGAAAGTGATGAAATTTACTAGCAAGCTATTATTATATGGAGTTCCATAAATTTACTTCTCTCTTCGATAATAAACTTTACTTGTACTATGACTTTTTACTATAAGATGCATTGTATGATGATGAAACTATGTACTACTATTTGATATTATAATTGTTAATTCAATAAACAAAATTAGTCGAGTCAAAGTTAAATTTGCCAACGCTATAAATGAAGAACTTAAATACGTCTTTACTTGTTCATTATATTTTAATAATATTTGTTCAATTTATAAAACTAATGAATATGCTATTATTTTGTGTTAATTACTTTTGTTATTTATAAATCTTTATTTTTTCAATTTTTAGATGATTTATATTTAATTGGGGTGACTGAATCAATAGGCTAGGGGTATGCCCCGTATCCGCATAATAAAATTATTCCTATTATTTACTGCTTATTTATTAATCACTTATGTCAAGTTAATAATGAACAACTATTGTTAGACAAATAAAGTACCAATAAACTAGACATGAATTTTCTTTATGTTTTTTAAAAGAGAATTTTTATTTTCGTCTTAATTTCTTTATCTTATTTTTCTTTTTAGTTGATCTTTAAAAAATTTGATAACTCTTTAATTAAGTTTCCGATTTCCCTTTGATATGTTTAGTACATAAGCATATATTCGGCCTCATTTAATTTGTTTCTATTAAAATTAAGATGTTTGAATCTGAATATTAAAATTTGCATTAAGATATGAGTGTTTTGATCTAAATACACATTTGAATATTAAGATGTGGTCTCTACATCTGAATACTAAATAATTAATGTTGTTTTAAATATCTGAATGTGAAAGTGAAATTGAACATTATATTAATAAAATATTATTAAAAAAATTAACTTCAACAAAATATATCATTTTTTATTTAAAAAAAAGTTCTAAAAGTTTTAATAATCATGATTTGGAGTATTAATTTTTCATTCAAAAACATTGATAAACAACAACACATTAAAAATCTTATTGCAACAAGTGTTCCTGACACACACCAATACAGAAAAAAAATATTAATAGGAAAAAACAAATACTTGAAAGTATTTTTACGAAAACTTATATGATGTTTAATTGAGAAATGAGAGAAAGAAACTCTTTAGTTATGAGATAAAAAGTCAGGTTCAAAGCATAGAAGTTATAATTTATTATTTGACAACTTATCAAATGAGTATGAATATTATTAAAAATCTCCTACAAATCTAATTGTTCAGATCTCTTCGGACCGATTAAAATGCAAGCAGATGAGGCCTTGTTATCGTTTGTGAAATTACCAGACTAAATAAATTAGTATTAGTATTAAAATTCGAAAATCAAACAAATCAATTAAAAGAGAAGTAAAAGTTTGGTATTCCAAATTAGACTTATCCGATTGAAAATTGATGAATATTCCTCCGCCACATGTCCCCTGTACGGCACTAACAATAGTGTTACAACGAGCTAATATATATATATACACACAAATCTACCGACAGTTCTCTCATAAGGAAAAAAAAAATGGAGAAGAAGAAAATGGCAGCTATAGCTATGGTGTTCATCATCCTTTCATCGGCCAATATCGACACGATCAGTGTTGCTGCTCAAGGTCTCAGTTGCTATGACAACTGCAACACCGGCTGTGCCGGTCTCCCATGTATGTCTATTATATACTCACTTTTAATTTCATCGAAACTTAGGTATATTAAATTCTAATATAAACGATTGGAATTTGAAAATTTACTCAAAGAGCAGTAACATTTGACTTCTGTGTGAAATTTCTGTTATCCTAAAAGCTTATACAGCAAGAATTTGTTAAATTTTTTTAGCGGAGGAGTACCTGATTTGTGATAACAAGTGCCACGAAAGGTGTGGAGATGGTAATTCTCTTTTACTGTTTTTTCCTTTTCGTATTCTTTTCAAAAGTTTTACTTTTTGTTCACTATTTTAACTACAAGTCGAAATTTAAGTTTAGTCTCTTCATTTCTTGCAGAAAGCAAAATTTATGGAAACTTAGTTGAAAGTGTTTAAATGTATTGATTTGGCAAGCTATCGAGGCTTTATTGTAGGGAGTTCTACAAATAATAATTTCTTCTTAGTTGGGGAAAATAAACGTTACTTGTACGTGTATGTTTAATTATTACTATGAACTTTTATTTTTTACTTTACTGTAATAGGAAATGCATTTTGTACGATAAAAGAAAACTATGTACTGTATATGAAACTATAATTGTCAGTTCAATTTGTTAGTTGTAGACTCTAGTTAAGTGAAACAACGCTTTATATTAACTCAAATCGTTCTTTCTAGTTATCGATAGCAATGGGGCGGGGCGGGATGAGGAGCGGGCAGAATTTTGCCTTATATGGGTGGGGGGTGGATTTATGTGGGTGTGGTCCGGGGTTTGGGGCGGACGAGGAGCGAAGCGGGTTGAAACTTCTTTTTCATTAATCGATAGGTTGATAGTTCGAATTACGTTGAAGAATAAATGACAATATTATTGATTTTCATGTGTAAAGCGAAAAAAAAAGAGAGAGAGAAAATGCTGTTAAACCTCTCTAGGAAATGAAAATTAAAAAAAGAAAGTGATGGCGGGGCTCAATCATTGCTTCCGTTTGAATTAGTTTTTCTTTAAACAACTTTGCGAAAGGGTAATGGAATGTTTATTTCTATATCATAGTGAAAATTAAATATATTTTTTAAAAAATTTCATCAAATATCTGATACTCACATAATAACTTGACTAAGTTCAAACTTATTTCGTAATTTTTTATTGCGTAAATGAGAATACCGATGAAGCCCTGAGTTGAAAGTGCCAAGTACTAGCAAGCTACCAATAGCTATTGTTGTCTATTTTGATACACACTTGATCAAAGTGTAATTTGCATTGGATTTAAAAATATAGTTTTTAAGTTAAAAGTAAAAATTTAGACTTAAATAATTTTTAAGTAGAAAATTTTAAAAAAATAAGAGAGGTCTATTTTTTAGTTTAAATTATTTTTAAGTTATTTTAACATTGTCACTTTCAAATACTTCACTTTCTAACTTATTTGAGTCATTTTTTAATTAAATTATTTTATATTTACTAAACACTTTCTGAAACTAAAATTAAGTTAAAAATAAATATTATCAATTTTTAAGTTGATCAAAAATCTTCGAAACTCGAGCCCCGAGGCTAAGCTAGTTATGGGTAGCTTCATAAACTTAAGATACTGGACCGTGCATTGGGCCTAGATCAAGATAATGGGTTGAATTTATACAGTTTTGTGCAACAATTGATATATTCGGATAATTGATATATTAAAAATTGTAAATTTGAAGAAAAAAACAATAAGAATATGATGTAATTTGAGTTTTACATTATAATATTCATGTAATTTATTTTTTTGTTCATAAATCAAACCAAATTGATAAGATTTGAGTAATTTCTGGGTTTTTTTATATAAACATTCAATTAAGTTGTGTTTCATATATTTTTTTCTCCGGTCAAAAATACCTATCGAAGATATTTATTAAAGAATATATATTGGACAAATAATGATGCTAAGATATTCAACATAAATAATAATAAAATTGCAGAAAACAAATATTCTAAAATAATAAATTATGATAAAAATGATCGTAATTTAAAAGTACTAAATTATAATAAAGTAAGTCTAACAAGTATTATACACAATTGAACATTGAAGAAAAATAAAACTAGATTATATATTTAAATGTCTAAACAATATAAAACTAAAGAACAAATATTCAACAGTGTTATCATTTTTAATGTTGAATTTTATTGATTTAATTTTGAATTAAGCTTTATTAGAGCTACTAATATTTATAGATTATAATCTTTATTGTCTTATTCAAAATCTTAAATCTAAAAAAACTTGAAATAATATAAACTATATCAAAATAAATATTTTTTTGTTTAAAATAATATATATATATATTGTTAAAATCATATCAACTCGTGTATGATCAGAGTTTTTATCAATATCAAATCAATAATTAAATTATTTTTTCTCGATTTAACTTAATTTATGATTTGATCAAATTTTCAATTTGATTCCATATATATCCTGCAAATAGTTCTCTTTCTCACTCAAAGTTTTGTATAATTTGTAATACAATATAAGGGGCATTAAACACAATAATACATTCCTAGTGGACCCAATTACAAAATATATTAGCTTAAAACTTACAAAAGTTAAAACAAATATAAAGAAAAAAAAAGAATTTTTGCAGAAGAACTTTTTTTTTTAGTTTCCAGACACGCACACAGAAAAGAAAAAAAAATAAAGAGACACAAATACAAAATTTAGAAATTCAAAAATAGAAAAAAAACTGGCGTCAAGTTTAAGCAAATTCCCCAATTTATAAACCCTACTTCCGTTTCTCTTTTTCCTCACAAACCAAAAAACCTCTGCCGCTCTCGGATTTTTCTTCTCATCCTTTCGATAATGGTGAGTAAATCTCGTTTATTTTTCATATAATTAGTTGATTTTTGCTAGAAAATTAGAATGATAATCATTGAGGTGTTTATACGATTCGCTGGAATTATTTTTATGTATTAACTTTGATTTGGATGAATATTTGAGGATGTATATGATTTTGTTCTTCGCGGCTGGTAGTTTATCTTAATTGGAATGGGAGTTTAAAATACAGGAGAATTTTAATAGCCACAAATCGTTTATCAGTACTGGGATGATGAGATTGAGGTGTTTACTTTGATCAAGTTGTTCCTTTTCTTTGTTTTAGAAGTTGGTTTAAGCTTTAGTTGGATAAGTTTTTTTTGTCGGTATTGGAATGGTAGTTGATCTTAATGTACATAAGAAGGTGTCTAAGTGAGGTATGTATAAGCTTTGGATCCATATCTGAGTGTTGGAGTTGTATCCATATGGATACGTATGCTGGGATTTAGCTTATGACGTTAGAAATTGAAAAACGATGAGAGATAGCACGTGGAGAACTTAGATGGTATATTCTAAAGTTATATGATTCGTTCTCTAAGATAGGAGTCAAGAAACATAAATTAATTGTTTAAAATCAGCATATGAATAATTTATTCGTTCTTTCTATAAGAAAGAAACATTTCTAAATAGCAAATATTGACCAAGAGGAAAAGCTTTAAAAAGATGTATGTATGCATCTTCCATGTCTTAAATCTGTTTTATCTTCATGTTGAGAAATCAATATCCCCAACCCTGTGTCATGTTGATGGGAGCGGACTGCAACTTAGGTTTCAGATTGAGGTGCTTATAGGCTTTGTTGATTTCTTTTTTGGTCCAATTGCTCTTTTTTTTCCTTCTACGGAATTGGTTTTTAACTTGATTATGATGTGTTTTTTAAGACGTTGGTGAGTTACATCTGATATGTCAGTGTTGACTAAATGTTTTGGCTTATTTCTTGTGTTGATCTTTTTGAATTTATTATTACAGGCTTTACCAAACCAACAAACTGTAGATTATCCAAGCTTCAAGCTTGTTATTGTGGGGGATGGAGGAACTGGTATGTTTCTATGCTTATCTCAGATTTGTTTCGAAGAGAATATCATTAACATTATTTTGATGTCAAACAGATATTTTGTTTTGATTTCTTCAACCATTTGAAAAATATTATTGACTAGCGAGAAATTGACTTCGGAATAGTTTTTATATATGAAAGTTATTTTAATATAGTTAAGTGATGATTGTATGAGTAAACACTGAATAATGCTATTTAATGTAGACAATCTGATCTATGTAAATTGAAGTGAATGTTTCATAGAGACAGGTGGCTTGCTTCATTTTATCAGAGTACCCTAATGGTTCCTGTTGTAATTGGATTTCCAGGGAAGACAACTTTTGTCAAAAGGCATCTCACTGGTGAATTCGAAAAAAAATATGAACGTAAGTTTTTTATTTCTGACTTTTGTCGAAAGGCAACTCACTGTTTCTTATTATGTTGGTTTCTCCTAAGTGGATTATTTATTAAGTTTTGTTTTCATACAGCCACTATTGGTGTGGAGGTTCATCCACTAGACTTCTTCACAAATTGTGGGAAAATTCGCTTTTATTGCTGGGATACAGCTGGACAAGAGAAGTTTGGAGGTCTCAGAGATGGTTACTAGTAAGTGATTCTAGACAGTTGAAACTTTTAGTTTCGGTGCTCTGTTGCTTGATGATAAAAACTTGTACTATCAAATCCTTAAGAGTTAAATGTGTAAAGTTTCATGTTTCCAAAAGATGAAATATTGGTATTATGGTATGCTGGTTTGTTCTGATAATGAAGAATTATTTGATAACCGGTGGTGTTCTACATCAAATGTCATTATAGGTATTTCTACAATGTGGTCTCATATCTCAGGCTATAATAGCTGAGGTGACAGTAATTGTGCTCATACCTGCGTCTCTTTTGAGCACATAATACCATAATTACCCTGCCACTCCTTTTTTTAGATCAAACACATGTTTGACTGCCTTGACATTAATTGTCTTGCTTGAAGCTTTCGGTGATTGTATTTTGGCTTCTCATGTTTCTCTATATCAATCGTGCAGCATTCATGGGCAATGTGCAATTATCATGTTTGATGTTACAGCTCGTCTGACCTACAAGAATGTTCCTACTTGGCATAGAGATCTTTGCAGGTGAGGAACTCTTCATAGGCTGCCAGCATTATACTCTTACATATAATTGATGATATTCAATCAAAATCTGAAACGCTATTCAATTTTTTTCTTCCAGGGTTTGTGAAAACATCCCCATTGTTCTCTGTGGAAACAAAGTTGATGTCAAGAACAGGCAGGTCAAGGCAAAGCAAGTTACCTTCCACAGGAAGAAAAATTTGCAATACTATGAGATCTCGGCAAAGAGTAACTACAACTTTGAGAAGCCTTTTTTGTACCTTGCTAGAAAGCTTGCAGGGTAATCAATGTTCATAAATATAAATATATTTCATGTCTGCTCTAGTAGTCATTATTTACTGCTTATGTATAACCTAATTTATTGTCCTACTTGTAGGGATGGTAATCTTCACTTTGTGGAATCACCCGCACTTGCTCCCCCAGAAGTACAAATTGACTTAGCTGCACAGGCATTGTAAGATCTGTGTTTACTTTTGGTGCTTCATTATTTTTTCTTCTACTGATATCTAAGTTTTACATGTGTATTCGATAGAGGTCTGTGAAAATATCAGATATTCACCACGTTTTAGGTGTTATGTTAATCAATGCCCATTGCATCTTAATATGTTTATCTGAGTTAGAACTGACGATATTGATCATAAG